GCGTTCTCGCTGTGCTGGTCGCCCTCGTCATCCTCGTCGTCCTCTTCCGAGTAGTCATCGTCGCCCTCGGCCGCGTAGTTCTTGCTACGTCCCTGCCACGGTGGCCTGCCGCCACGCATGTTGTTGTGGTCGCGTTCGTGCTTCTTGTCGAACTGCATGCCGAGGGCTTGCTGGATGGCCTGGTACCCATACTTGTTCTGCACAGAGGCCAGCACCTGCGAGCGCTCGTGGTCGTCGAGGCCAGCATTCTCGAGTAGAAACCATGCTCGGAGCGGCTCAGGAAATATCGGCTTCTTCTCGTCGAAATCTTTGTCGATGGCCTTTATCGCCTTCTGCATCCGGTCCTCTTCGACCTCGAACTGCGCGAGGTAGTCTCTCATGCTCGTCCGGTTCTTCCGGTAGGTCTCCTTCATGAATGTCCTCATGTACTTGCCAGCGTCCTCCACCTCCAAGATGCCGCTCTTCTCCCGGAGATACTGGATCAACTGGCTCACTCCTTTCGGCAACTTGGTCGTCGCATCTTCCTCCAGGTCGTCCAGGCTGTCCAACTTGTCGTACTTCTGTACTCCCTGCCACGCACGTCCCTGGAGCTTCGCCATCAATCTGGGCCCGCAGAGGCCCTTCTCGTCCTTCTTGGTACCGCGCACATACAGCTTCACTCGCATCACGTAGGAGTCGAAGCTGGCCACGTCTCCGTCCCACGAAGGCACGGTCTCGTGCTTCTCAGCCTCGGTCGTCATGGCGAGCCGGTCCGTGGAGCCACGACCGGCTCCGCTACCAACTAAATCGTCGGCACTGGCGTCAGCCTGCTGTCGATCTTCTCGTAGATGATTATCTTGATAATCTTTTCCTCCACAGCTCGCGCCAGCGACACAACAATCTGTAAGATATCTCGCTAGCCCCTGGTGGGCTGAAACAGTCACTCACTTGGTGAGTGTGTGGCCGGTCGGCCGCGCCCGGTAGCCTTACCGGGACTCAAGGGCGCCCTCGGACCGAAACAGCAACAGTAGCTGTCGTTCGGTCTCGGGGCGTCTCGGATCGGAAGGCCAACTGCACCATGCAAAACACACACCCCCCCCTCTCGCGATTGTGGCGGCCAGCCGGGGGCCGGCGCTGCGCCGGAGGGCTGCCGCACCTCCCAGAGGGATTCGGCGCTCGGGGCAGCGGGGTCGGGAGCTGCCGGCGCGGCCATGGACCAGCAGGGCCGCCGCGCGGTGTGCGAGGCCACCCTGGCGGACCTGACGGCCTCGCGCATGCGCGGGGTGTCCCCGGCTGCGGGCCTGCCGGCGGTGACGCTCGAGGAGCTCATCGCCGCAACCACCGCCGCCCTTGGAATTGACGGATGCACGCCGCTGAGCGTAGCGGTAGTCGCCGGCTTCGCTTTCGAGCTGTGCGGCGAGCACGCCGGGAGGAGACAGCCCCTGCTGCAGCTCGTGCGCACGAATGGGGAGGCCAAGCGCCGCCCGGCCGTGCACCACACGCTGCAGGGCGTCCTGGACGCCAGCCGGAAACTGCCCATGTACCGGCCGGCGACGGCCACGCGTCCAGAGGCAGCGTGCTGCACGCGAGCCACCCGAGCGCCAGCTAAGCTAGTCGAGTGGATTTCAGAAATTGCCCCGAAGCCGAGGTTCGCGGCGAAGCGCCCGGTGGAGGTGGTGGGCGACCCAGCACCGATGGAGGAACAGGAGCCCGATGCCGGCAGGCACCGCCTCCCGCCGACGACGAGGGACGACCTCTTGCCGTTTTGCGCGGCGGAGCCCACCACAGACGACTTACTCCGCCTGATCGCGGCGCGGTGCAGAATGGCAGAAGCTAAGCTCAGCGGCGGGGCGGGCGAGGCAGTAAAGGACCCGCGCCACCTCCACTGGGACAGCCCGGCTCGTGCCCAGAACCGCGTCAGCCAAGCGGTGATTGCCATGCGAGACGCTTCTGGGGGCCAGAGCCCGGCGAACGTGTTCAGGGCGGTGCTCGCATACCGACGGATGAGCACCGACGCGTTCACCCGGAGCTTCGGCCCAGCCCTGGACTACGGCTCCTGGGACACGTTTCATGCCCGGGCCGCCCAATGCACAGTAGAGTGCCTCATGAATGGGGAATGGCCGCTGAGCGTAGCTTTCAGGCGCGTCATCTTCAGTGCGCACAAGATCAGAGGCATCGTGAAGGCCTACACGCCGGCCCACGTCTGGGCCTTCTTCGTAGAGTCCGAGAAGTCGCCGACGCACTCCGCAGACTTCGACCGCGGAGTGCTCGCCGCAATGGCGCTCGCGATGCCCGAGGCCGCGTGGGTCCAGATCTGGGCGGTGGCCAAGGAGTGGCTCGAGGGCATCCGCGGCCTGTTCGACCAGGCCGAGCGCCTCGCAGAGCTGGCGGCCCAGACCCGGAGCCTGCAGCGCGTCGTGGCCGAGGCCAAGATGATCGCGAGCGGCACCCGGGACGAGGACGGCCTCGAGATCCGCGAGCTCTGCCTGGATCAGCTCCCGGGCTGGGCCGACGGCGACACCTACATCCCCATTGGCTCGGGGTGCCGGCTGGGCCAACGGCGCCTGCACCGGGCAATGCCCGGAGGATGCCCAGTCCCGACAGGCACCAAGCCGGGGGCGCCGACAGACATGCCTGAGTCGTGGTACCAGAACGACTTGGTGCGCCGCCTGTACCCGGAGGCGCATGGAGCGCGGCGGGAGGCCGCCTGGGCAGCCGAGGGGGGCGATCCAGCTACCCGCCCCGCCCTGACTCCGGACGTGCTGGAGAGCGGGTGCTGCCTCCTCGAGCGGTACAGCGCCGTCCGGCAGAACGTCGAGGCCATGCGGGACGGGGCGGAGCTCCCGTGCCCGGGCGCGCGGTGGCGAGTCCACTACAAGAACAGCGCTGGGCCGCCGCTGACTGGCGCACCAGCAGGAGCAGACCTGGAGCGGGCCTAGCGACGGCGGGCTCCGCCGCGGGCGGCAGCCCCACCTGGCCGGGCGCCGCCGCAGAGCCCCAGCCTCCGCATGCAGCAGCCGCCCAGAACCCGGCGGCCGCCGGGACCGACGCCCAAGGACGGGTCACGCAGATCGCCCCCTGGGCCCCCCCTCTGCCCCTCCCCCCCCTCCTCCCCCCCTCCTCCTCCTCCTCCTTCTCATCCTCCTCCTCTTCCTCCTCCTCCTCCTCCTCCTCCTCCTCCTCCTCCTCCTCCTCCTCCTCCTCCTCCTCCTCCTCCTCCTCCTCCTCCTCCTCCTTCCCCCCCTCCTGCTCCCGGCCGTCGCCGCCGCCTTCGTCGCCGCCACCGCCGCCGCCGCCGCCGCCGCCGCCGCCGCCGCCGCCGTCGTCGTCGTCGTCGTCGTCGTCGTCGTCGTCGTCGTCGTCCGCGGCGGGGCGTTCTCCCCTGGGGGCCGATCTGCGTGGCTGGGGGGGGGCATGGCGGAGAGCGGTCGGTCAGTGAGAACCACCATGCTCCCCCCCCCCCCCCCCCGCCGTCGCCGCCCCGTGGCTGCGGGCGGCGCAGGGCGGCGCCGCCGGCGGCGCTTAGCAACGCCCCGAGGCCGCTAGGCCCCGCGCCAGGGGGCCCAACAGCCCAGGAGCAGCGGCAGCCGCCCCGGCTAGGCCGGAATCGAGCCCAGAGAGAGGCGCCGCCGGGTGACACCTGGCGTCACCGGGGGGGCGGTGGTGACACCAGGTGTCAGCCTCGGCGGGGGGCGTTCCCAAGGGGCCGCGGCCGCCCCCGCAGGACGCGCGGGGGACCCCGGCGGCCCCCCCCAGGAGCTGCGGCAGCCGCCCGGGCCGGCCCGGGAGCGAGCCCGGGCGACATGGGTGGGAGGCGCCGCCGGGTGACACTTGGTGTCACCACCGACGCGTGCGGTGACACCAGGTGTCACCCTCCCCGCCCCCTCCCCCTCCCGGTTCCTGGCCCCCTCCGCCCCCCCCTCTCCCCCCCTCCCGCCCTCCTCGCCCCCCCTCTTTGCCTCCTCTGCCCTCCGGTTGGGGCCCACCCCCCCGGGGGGTGAATCTGAGTGGCTGCTGGGCCCCCTCGTCGGCGGCGGCCCGCTGCGGCCGCGCCTAGCCGCCCCCGACCGGCGCCGGGGCGCCCGCGGCGGCTCGCTGGCCGCCGGCCGCAGCAGCCTCGGCCCCGGGCCGAGCCGACAGGCATGCGCGCAGGTCAACCCCGGGGGGCGGGGGGCTGGGGGCCGTTCATCCCCCGTCGCCGCCGCCGCCGTCGCCGCCGCCGCCGCCGTCGTCGTCCCTGCCGTCGCTGCCGCCGCCGCCGTCGCCGTCGTCGCCGCCGCCGTCGCCGCCGTCGTCGTCGTCGTCGTCGTCGTCGCCGTCGCCGTCGCCGTCGTCGGCTCGGTGGGGGACCCCCCCGGGGCGCCGACCTGCGTAGCTGGGGGGGGCAAGGCGGAGTGCGGTCGGTGTGTGAGAACCGCCGTGCCCCCCTCCCCCGCCACCAGCAGCGGCCGCCCCCGAACGCCGCCCGGGCGCCCGCGGCGGTCCGAGCAGGATAAAGAGAGGGCGGGGGGAGCAGCAGCGGGCCACGGGGGGGCACAGAGCGCGTCGCGCCTGGCCACCGCCCCCGCTGCGTGCATCCACCTGACATACCCCCTCCTCGCCCTCCCCTTGCTGCTGCTTCTGCTTGTCTTCCCCTCCCCCCCCTTTCCCCCGCTGACCCCCCTCCCGAAGGAGGCAGTTTCGTCCAAGAGGGCAGGCCCCGCACGGCAGCCCCACCCGGGGCATGCTCGGCGCAGCGCCTGACCCCACAGGGCTCAAGAAGATGGGGGGCCCCGCGCGGCAGCCCCGCACGGGGGCCTGCTCGGCGCGGCGCCCGCCCCCACACGCTCAATCGGACGGGGGGCCGTAGATGTGCACCACGAGGTGACTGATTACCAAGACGGGCGGGCCTCGCGCGACAGCCTGGCGCCACGGGCTTCCAGCCCTTGATGCCAGCAGCCTCCGGCTCAAAACAAGCGCCTGCGCACGCCCAACCAAGCGTTCGTACCGACCCCCCGCGGCCGCGACGGGCCGCGACGGACATGTCGCTGCCGACGGAGCCCCAGTCCTGGACCCTGGGCCTGTCCGCGGACAAAGCCCTTGCAGCGCTGCACAACTTCACCACCAAGGCCACGCGCATCCTGGAGCAGCGCCGGGGCGCCAGGGAATCCTACCGTGAGCTCCTCGCGAAATCCATCATGAAGCTGCGGGTGTCCGGAGCCGTGCCGTTTGATGACGCGGGCCGGGTCGAGAGGACGATGCAAGCAGTGAGTGCCTGCGCGATGGCCTCCCACGACCCGCCGAGGGTGGACATGCGCACCGCGGTCGCCCGTGCCCAGGAGCTCCTCGAGGCCCACCAGCAGCGGAGCGGCCGCCGCGCCGGCGCGCGCGGGCGCCGCAGCCGCAGCCGCAGCCGAGGCGCCGGTCGCGACGCCCCCGAGCACGCCCGCCGCTCCAAGGACAAGGAGCCGGAGGCTGGCGGCGCTCGCGGCCGCGGACGGAGCCGCCGCCGTGCCCCGAGCCCCAGGTCTCCGATCCCTTCCAGGCCAGCCGGCAGCCCGTCGCCGAATGCCACGCCGGTCCCCCGCCGCGGGCGGTCGAGGACGCCTCCCACCGAGATCGCCGAAGAGGGCCCGCCAGAGCCCCTCGACCCCCCCAAGGAGCCGCCGGCGCAGGGGGCGCCGGCCCCGACCCCGACGGCAGTTGCGCCAGATCACCCCATCGCCGCAGCCGGCACTACCACCGCGCCCGGGACGCCGCAGCGGCAGAACGAGCAGTCGGCGTTCCTCTCGCAGCTGGCCGCAGTCTCCCCGCGCACGCAGAGCCGCATGATTGAGGCCGCGATGGGGGCCGCCCGGCCTGCGTGCAGCGCCGCGGCGGGGCCGGCGGCGGCGACCCCGCCGCCCGCCACCAGCGGCGCAGCCGGGGGCTTGCTCACGGTCGAAGGGGGCTCCAACGCGGACGTAGGCGGCATCGTCGGCGGCTCCTACACCATGCTCTCCCAGAACCACGGAATGCCGACGTACTCCAAGGACGTGCAAACCCATGACCTCGACGTGCTGCTGTACTTTTGGGATGAGCGTGACGGGGAGCAGTTCTGCGTCTTGCGGTTTGGGCACCAGCTGGGAGGAGACCACGCGTGGGCACACTGCCCAGGGCGGGCCCCCACGCCGCCTCAGACAGGATGGAGGGCCCCGTGCGACGGGCCCATTGACCCAACCTTCGTGGTGACCACCCAGCCGCAAGGACCTTCGCTGGAGGCTCCACCCCGCGCGCAGCCATCCTACTCCGCGGAGGCCGTGAGTGAGGGCCGCAGCGCGACGACGCCAGCCAGCAGTCCGATGGCCTCATGCGATGGCCCCGCGGGGCCTGGGGCCGCGCAGCCCAGCCAGCCGCATGCACTTGCAGGCCCCCGCCAGTCCAGGCCCCTCCCGACAGCGGGAGTCCCAGACCTGTCGACAGCAGACCACCCCACGAAGCGATGGGACGCCCACCGCGCGCTCCACCCCCCCGACGACCCGGCAGCCATCCTGGTCGAGCAGTCGAGCCCGAACTGGCAGCCGATGGCCGCGAACCACGTCGTCGAGTTCTCCTTCGCCCCGGGCGGGAGCCTGGACCGCGACGCCCAACTCTGGGACTTCTACCGCACCCTGGCGTACGCGGGGATCTATGTTCACGAAGTGTACGCTGGGGCCCAGTGGGAGGCGCGCACCAACGCGTGGGGCGGGGCCGGCACGATCTACGTGCCCGCTGTCCGAACGAGCCACGGGGTCACCATCAACTGGTGGCAGTCCCGTGATGGCCACCTCCGCTGCGACGGGAAAACACCCCTGGTGGAGCACCTGCGGCCGCAGCTCCGCAGGGCGTTCCCCGCGTGGACCCCCGGGGCGACGGCCCACGGGCGGACCACAGGAAGGCAGGCAAACAGAGCGATGGTCCAACAGGGGCGGCCCAACCAGGAAGACGTGCAGCGCGGGGCGCGCCAGCAGCGCCTGGCCGGCAAAGTCCGCTCGGATGCCGCCGACCGTCAGGGTGCGTGGCCAGGGGTCTGGGACCTGCTGGACGAGCACATCGGTGTCCGGAATGTCCCGCCACGCAACGCTATGCCATGACCGCTCGTCCTTCGGACTGGCGTCACCCTTTCGATCAGCAGCGACGGCTGCGTGCGGTCGGCCATTGGCAGGGCCCCGCTGCAGGCGATCGAGGACGCGGAGCGGCCCCTCCAGACAAGGGCGGGAGCGACGTGGCAGGATGAGGCCGAGCACGCCCGCGCAGAGCCGGCCATGGAGGTGGTCTATGGGGAACCCGGCCAGAAAGCCCGCGCCCTCCAGACCCCGCCAGTTCTTCGCTAGGCGCTGCCCTCGGGGCGGCCATCGCGACTGCGCAGGCCGCCGACCCCGGGGGGGCAGCGCCGACAGAGGACCGGGAAGCAGCCACCGCTCACCAGCGGCTGGGTGAGGAACTGGCCCGTGCAGAGGCCGCCGCGTACACGGGCGCCCTCGAGGGGCTCCCGACACTGGCGCGGCCGTGGTCGCCGGACGCCCACGGGCGCGACGTCGAGTGCTGGGCAACGGGCGTGGCGGCCGACGTCGACCGCCTGCTTGAAGAGAAGCCCCGGACGTGCTCTACCCCACTGATCGGCCTGCTCCCAGGCCCACACGGCGCGGCAGAGGCGCTGACCGCGGCATTACACGCATCCGCCACCGCCGCAGGCCAGCTGGCCGAGGGCCGCCGCGGCCAACGGAGCCAGGGCCCGAGCGCCACCCTCGGGTCAAGCGCTTACGCAGGCCCCCTGCGCATGGTGCCGCACGCCGCAGACCCAGCAGCAACACAGGCGGCGAGTGGCTGGACTCTTGGCGGGGTTAGCGCTGGCCTGTCTGGCGGCGCAAACCTACAGGGCACGGGCATCCTCACCCATCGGTGGAGGGACAAGGGCACCCTCATGACGGCGCTCGACGTTGAGTTCTTTCTCAGCACCGCGTGCCGCCTCCTGCCTGGCATCGACTTAAGCCGCCACGTCCCCGACTTCCCTTTCGAAGCGATGGGCCCCGCCACCGCGAAATACGGGGCGGTCGTGGGATTCCGGCATCACGAGGCACGTGCGCCGATTGAATGGCTGAGCGGAGCGACAGATACTGACCGCATCCAGTGGTATGTAGCTGATGGGGAGGTGCTCATCGGGGGGTTCGCCATCCCGCCGAAGGGGCCCGAGGCGCCAGAAGAATCCCGCCGCGAGCTCGTGGACGCGCTGTTCTCGCAGTACGACAGGATCCGGCGCAGCCGCCCTGAACTGTCACTCGCGGTGGCATACGGTGACCTCAACCCCAGCCCCTCCCTGGAGAAGCATTACCGTCGTCACCTCACCGCCCGGGGGCTGGGGGACCTCGTCCCAGACACCGTCGCCACGCATGTCCGCGGGCGCCGCCTGGACGTCGCGTGGACCACGGACCCCGTCCGCGTCACCGCGGTGGTGCACAACGGGGAGGAGTGCCGCGCATCGGGCTGCACGAGGCAACACTGTGGGAAGCACGTCGAGCTCTTCGGGTGCCACGACCTGGACCACTACCCCGTCGTCCTGACAGGCCTTCAGACGCGTGCCCCCGCAGGCGAGACGAGTAGGAGCGGCCGCGCTGCCCGCTGCGCATTCAGCAAAGAGCCGGGCGATTGGTCAGTCGCCCTGAGGGACCTGGAGCCGTTCCAGGAGCTCGCCGCCGAGGAGCTCCGCCGATGGTCTCAACACGGGGGCACGTGGCGGACTGCCCCGGACGACGCGCCCCTGGCATCTGCGGAGCTTGCGTCATGGCTTTGGCGTGCTTCTTGCTACCTGGGCGCGGTGACGGGCGGCCTCCTGTGGGTCGTGCGCGCGCCCCCCCTCCAGCTCGCGCCACCGAGCAGCGCCCCCCTCGCGGCGGACGCCATCCAGGCGACGCGGCGGCGGCAGGCCGAGCGAGCCAACTCCCTGGCCCGCACTCGCGCGGCACGGTACATCCAGCTCGCCGAGCAGGACCCCACGGCAGCGGAGCAGTACCTCACGAAGCTCTCCGGACAGCACGGCCTGGGCCTCCCGCAGATCATGGAGGACAGCAGCGTGCCAGGCGCCTTCAGGAGAGGCGACGACGTCCTGGCAGGTGCGGCGCAGTACATTCGTCAGAGAGGGCGCGGTCGGGAGGCAGACTTCACGCCCCGCCAAAAGGACCACCTCAGGCGTGAGGAGCGCCGCTCCCGAGATCTCCTTGCCTCTCTACGCCAGCAGTGGCGGCAGGAGTGGGCGCGGGACCACCGCCCTTACACTGAAGAAGACCTCCGAGACGCCTGCGATCGGATCAAGGTCGGAAAGGCCAGCGCAGGACTGCCTTACGCCTGCCTCAAAGAGATGCCCCAGGGACAGGGGGGGCTCCTCTTGTGCGTACAAAACTTCGCCCGGTTTCTTATGGTGATCCCTGGCCGGTGGAAAGACCAGCCGACTTTTCACAAGCGGAAACATGGGAAGCCACAACAGCAGTACCCGAGCTACCGCACCCTCTCCACGAACACCGTGGAACTCAGAGTGACCGAGGAACTGTGGGCGCTGCACCACGAGCACGCACTCTGGCTTTCCGCGGGGGACTGCCAACTGGGCAGGGGAGAATCTCTCATCGCAGTCCTGCTCGGCGTCGAGACGCGGCTCATACGCGCAGACCTGGGCCTGCCCATCGCCGAGGCCTTCACAGACCTTGCGGAGGCGTTTGACACGATACACGCCCCAGCGGTTATCCTGGGCATTAGCGAAGGAGCGGGCCTCACCGGAGAGGACCTCGTGCTGGCCGCGCAGATGCTCCACGGCTCCCAGGTCCGCGTCGTCTCGGGCGAGGCGCAGGCTGCACCAGTCGCCCTTACGGACGGAATGCCCGAAGGCCGGCGCCTCGCCCCAGCCTTCTTCGTCGCGGCGGCCAGGGCCTTCAGGGCGGCCGCTGGCCCCGACTGCGGCGGCGTCGGGCTCGACCCCCCCGCCGAGGCGGTCACCGCCTTCCACCTCGCGGCCCGCTAGGACACCGGCGGGCCCCCCCCGTCTTGGGAATGGTGCGCGCAGACCGCCCTCAGGTGCCGCCAGGGCAACCAGACCTGGGAGGCCGCCATGCGCGCAGCCCCATCCCACGCGGACCAGCGCGCCCTCCTGGACGCCGCCTCCACCCTGCGGGTCGGCCTCACGCAGTTTATGGACGACAACGTGCACAGGGCCAGCTCCAGGGGCGGCCTCGACCTCGAGATCTGCATCCAGCGCATCACAGAGGCAGCCCAGTCGGTCCGAGGTGAGCTCCGCGTCGGGCCCGGGAAGACGGAGTGCATCAGTAACGGGATCGCGGACGTCCGACCGATCCGCGGCATCGCGTTTGCCACGCAGCACACGTCCCTGGGCATCCCAGTCGAGGCTGACGCCCGCATGATAGGCCTCCTCAGGCAGGTCGAAAACCGGGCGCAGGGAGGCTGGGCCAGCACGCCCACGGCCATCGAGCACCTCGGCTTGCCCACCGCTGCCGCGCTGGCCGCCCTGCGCACGCGGACCACCCCGCGAGCATTCCACGGGGCGGCCCTGCTCATCGCGCGTGGCGATTGGGAGCGCCGTGTTGACGCCATCCCGGACCGTTGGATTTCACGGCTGCTTGACCTCTCTCAGCCGGTGCCGCGCATCGCCCTCCTCCGCGAAGGCGGGCTCGCATGGCGGCTGAGCACCAGCACCCTCCGCCGCGCCTTCGGCCTCCACGCCCGCGCGCAGGCGCCCCCGCAGGCGGCGCACCCGGCCCGCGTCCTGCGAGCGGCCCGCGAGTGCCAGGGCACGTGGACGGCGGCGCTCGAGCACTACGCGAGCGACCTGGCCGCCCCTCTCTTCGCCGAGTGGGCGCGTGGCGCCCTCGCCCAGGACACCCGCGCCCTGAGCGGCCCAGCGAGGAGGCGGGCGACCCGCCGCTACCTCCGTGAGGCCGTCGACCCGGGGCTGCAGGCGCGCGAGGACGAATGGCTCGCGGGCCAGCGCGCGCTCTACCCAGCCCGGGGCGTGCGCAGCTTGCCGGAGGTCAGCGACCTGGCCCTGGTCTGCCATGCCGTCCGTCCCTGGGCGCAGCTGCGGCTACAAGGCCGCTTCACGTCCCACGGTGGCATGGCGGCGCCCTGCCGGTGGCGCGGCGCCGTGGCCCCGGTGGACGGCAGCCACCTCGGGGAGTGCCCCCAGGCTGCCCGCGCCGCTCGGGACGCAGCCGCGGGCACCCCATGGGAGGGGGACAGCGCGGCTGAGCTGTGGCGCCGGTGCCGCGAGGACGCGGACGTCCTCACGGCAATCACAGTAGCCGGGCGCCTCGCGGCCCGCTAGGCCGGCAAGGGCCTCCGTCCGAGGTATAATACAGGAGCCCTTGTCCCCAGGCCCCAGGCCCTTGCCCTGGCCCGCCCCCCCTTGGCCCGTGGTGCCCCGCCCTCCCCCCCCCGTTTCCGTGCCCCCCTCTTCTCCCTCCCTCTCCCTGCCCCCCCTCTTGCCCCCCTCTTCCCTCTCCTGGCCCCCCCCCTTTCCGGGGCCTGCGGTGCTCCTCTCGGCGGCCCCAGCCGAGGCCCAGAAGAATGGTCAAGACGACGCCGTCGTGACTCATGTTCCGGGGCTCCACTGGCCGCCCGAGCGCGAAGGTACCTGGGAGGTCGGGGGGACAGGGCCGGGCCCGCGAGACGGCAATGCGAGGGGCCCCTGGGCGGCGCCCAGTGGCCCCAGGAGGCCCTGCGCGCGGTTGGCGGCGAGGCGCCCGGGACAGCCCAGCGGCGCGGCGGGGATCGGACCAGGGTGCTGCGCGCCAGGCCCGATCCCCGTCGGCCCCCCGGGCTGTCCCCGGCGCGTCCCGCGCGGGCCCGCGGGGGACGGCCCGGGGCAGTTTGGAAGCTTGGTGGTAGGGGATATTGGGGGTACGCGGCTGCCACGGGGCGACTTGCTCAGCGCCAGCCCCGCGGCGGCGGCCTCTCCCCATGGCCCCCTCCCGCGGCCCCTGGCCCTTTGCCCGTCCCATATCATGGCGACCCGGACGGAGGCCCAGAAGAGGAGTGCGCAGCCCCCGGCGGGCGCCCAGCGCACTCCCCGCATGTCCCGCGCCATGGGGTGTCCCACGGGCGGGCTGCGAGGGGCGTTGAGTCGTTGGCAGACCGCCGGGGACAGCCTTATATATCCTTTAAAGCTCTCCCGCGTCTGCCCGGGGGGCCCGCGGCGGGTAGACAACCGTTGGCGGCATGCGGTCGAAAGGGAAAAAAAGGAGGGAGGACGACGACGGCGACAACGACGACAACGACGACAACGACGAGGGAGGAGGGAGGACGGCGACGACGCGAACGACGAAGAAGGAGGAAGGATGACGACGCCGACGACGACAACGACGAGGGAGGAGGGAAGACGACGACGACGACGACGACGACGACGACGACGACGGCGACGAAATAGGAGGGACGACGACGAGACGCCGACGACGGACGACGACGACGACGAGGCAGGAGGAGGAAGGACGACCACGGCGACAACGACGACGGAAACGACCATGACGCCAAAGAGGACGGCGACGACGAACACGAGGAAAGACAGAGGACGACGTAGACGACGACGACGGCGACGCGGGAGGAGGGAGGACGGCGACGACGACGACGACGACGACGACGACGACGACGCAAGAGCGCGCGCGCGCGCACGCTTTTGTTGAAAATCCTTGTTGCGAAATCTTGTGTTTTTGTCAGTTTTTCGGGCACACGATGTTGAAATCCTCCCAAGCCGATGGGTTTTGAAGGATTTCGGCATACGCGCGCGACGACGCGCGCGGCTGCACTTCGTTTTGTTTTTGCAGAGGATTCTCGCGACGGCACACGCGCAAGGGCGTTCGACAGATTTCGACATGCGCGCGCGCGAAGCCCGTTTGGTAGCATGGTGGGAAAATGTTGAAAAGCCCATGGTTTCCTTAAGATTTCGCAAGAGCTCGCGCGTAAGCTTTTTCAGCGAACCAGTGTTGCGAAACCTTGTGTTTTTGCATGTTTTTGGGAAATTCGATTGCGAAATCCTTCCGAGACCGAAGGTTCGGATTTCGGCATGAAGGATTGAAGGATTTCGGCATGCGCGCGCGACGACGCGCGCGTGTGCACTTCGTCCCGTTTTTTTTTCTGTTGCAAGGGATTTGTTTGTTTTGTTCCCGCGTATTGCTTTTTTTTTACAAGGGAACTACAAGGGAACCTCAGGGTCAGCGATACCAGCCCCCCTGGGATAGTGCAAATTCATATTTAGGATGGACATGTGGTCAGAATCATGGGGATAACGCCGGGGGGGTAGAGCCTATTCTCTGCTTAGAAAGGAGAATCTACGTGATGCAATCCATGTGGCGCAACATATGTCATGCGCTCTATGTGGATACAGCACAGTCTACGCGGTGCAATCTCTGCAGCTCAATTTACGTTGTCAAGCTATGTGGTGCACCCTAACTGGTGCAACGTGTGCGGTGCAGTTAGTTTCTGTTCGCAATGAATTCTAAACTCCACTGCTCGCGCAATCATCCCACACACCCACCCACACCTTAGCGTGCATCAACCCATGCGGCGGCGATTGCGATGAAAGTTCGGTGTTGGCTGGTTCTTCTCTGCGGCCGCTCTAGTCCGCGCACGCTCGCGCTTGCAGCGGCCAGCTAGTTTGGCGCAACTGACGCGGCCGCGGTGGCGCTGACCGCTGGGGACTTCCCATCGGGCACTTTCAGTGCGAGTCGGCGACTTGGGCGGGCACGGTAGCATGGCAACGTCGACAACGGTAGATACGAGGATGCTAGTAGCGATGTTGGCGAAGATGAAAACAAAGCCGACGGCAAGGGCAGTGACGGTGCCGATGTTGATCACGCCGACGCCGATGACGATGACGGCGTCTTCGCGTCTGTGAGGTTTTGGAAGGAGTTCGACATGCGCGCGCGGCCAGCACGCGAAAGTGGCCCCCATGGTGATATTTGGCACGGATCGTGCCCCCCCAGCACGCTCACAAGGGCGATGAATAATTTCGATATGCGGCTGGAGAGGCCCGTTTGTCAGATCTTATTGAAATGGATGTGTATACATATATATATATATGTATGTGTGTTTTATTTACGAATGCACAAATGCGCAAGCGCATGTTCGTTTTGGGTTGAATACTGGCGTTGCGAAGCCATGCGCGTTTCCCAACCATCCTGTGGTGCTGGGTCCTCGCTTTGAAGAGACAGCGCCACGCGTCACACCCACTCCCTCCTCCTCCCCCCCCCTCCCTCCTCCATGCGCTTCACCCACCCAATACGGCGCGTCGTGGCCCCATAGGGAGCTCCACCCAAGGCCCCGCGACGGGGTACCACATGCGTCCACCACACCTAGTACGGCGCCCCGGGGCCCCATGGGGAGCTCCGCCTAAGGCCCCAGGGGGTGGTACACGCGTCCGCCACAACCAGTACGGATTCGTGACCCCTTTTTGGGATTTCCACCTAAGGCCCCAGGGGGGGTACCACATGCGTCCGCCACACCAAGTACGGCGCTTCGTGGCCCCATAGGGAGCTCCACTTATGGCCCCACGAGGGGGAATACCGCATGCGTCCGCCACACCCAGTACGGCGTTTCGTGGCCCCATTTGGAGCTCCACCTATGGCCCCAGAGGGGGGGTACCACATTCGTCCGCCACACCCAGTACGGCGTTTCGTGGCCTCATAGGGAGTTCCACCGAAGGCCCCAGGGGGGGGGGTACATGCGTCCGCCACACCCAGTACGGCGGTTCGTGGCCCCATTTGGAGCTCCACCTAAGGCCCCAGGGCGGGGGGGGTACCACATGCGTCCGCCACACCCAGTACGGCGTTTCGTGGCCTCATCGGGAGCTCCACCTAAGGCGCCAGGGCGGGGGGGTACATGCGTCCGCCACACCCAGTACGGCGTTGCGTGGCCCCATTTGGAGCTCCACCTAAGGCCCCAGGGCGGGGGGGGTACCACATGCGCCCGCCACACCCAGTACGGCATTTCGTGGCCAGTGGGACCGCGCCCACATGCGTCCCGCACACCCAATTTGGTATTTTCACCCACCCAGTATAACTTTTCGTGGCCCCACAAGGAGCTCCACCGAAGCCCCCAGTGGGACCGTCCGCACGCGTCCCGCACACCCAATTTGGCATTTTGCCCAACCCAGTGCAGCGTTTGGTGGCCCCATGAGGAGCTCCACCGAAGCCCCCAATGGGATCGCCCACATGCGTCCCACACACCCAATTTGGCAGTTTCACCCGCCCAGTACAGCGCTTCGTGGCCCCATAGGGCTCCACCGAAGCCCCCAGTTCGCATGCGCCCCCGAAGCCCAATTTGGCATTTTCACCCACCCAGTGCAGCGCTCCGTGGCCCCATAGGGAGCTCCACCGAAGCCCCCAGACCGTCCGCATGCGTCCCCCCCACACACACACACACACACACACACACACACACACACACACACACACACACACAACACAAAAAAAATCTGCATTCTCACCCGCCCAGTACAGCGCTTCGTGGCCCCATAGGGAGCTCCACCGACGGCCCCAGTGCTACCGCCAGCATGCGTTCTCCCCCCACCCAATGCAGCGTTTCGTGGCCCCATAGAGAGCTCAAAAGATATTCACATTTGCGGCACCCACAACTGCGTATGGTTGGGTCCTTCGCCTGGATAATCATATGCATCCGGGACACTTGATTATGAAATCCTGGCGGAACCTAAGAATTTGAATGATTTTGGCGTGCGGGCGCGACGACGCGCGCGCGTGCACGTCGTCCCGTTTTTTGCAAGGGATTCGTGCGACAGCATGCGCGCAGGGGCGTTCGAACGATTCCGACATGCGCGCGCGAGAGGCTCGCTTGGTAGCATGTTAAGAACATGTTGCAGTCCGGATAGTTTCCTTAGATGTCACAAAAACGCAGGCGCACGTTTACATGTAAACATATGCATGCATACATACATACATACGTACATACATACATAAATGCATAAACACATAAACAATTACATGTGTATATATATATGCATACATGCATGCCTGCATATATACATACATGCATACATATATACATGCATACATGCATACATACATACATACATAAATACATGTAGACATATGCTCATGCAGACATACACATACATACATACATACATACATACGTGCATGCATATAGACATACATATACACATATATACATACATACATACATACATACATACATACATACATACAAACAAACAAACAAACAAACATATATATATATATACAAACATACATACATACATACATACATATATACATACATACCTACATACATACATACATACATGCATGTA